AATAATATGAAGAAGATTTAATTTAATAGAAAAATTCAATTTTAAATATATAGTATTTTAACATATCCAAACAATGTATTTAAAAATACATGTATTTGAAATTCATTTTTTTTAATTCAATCCAAACAATGTATTTTAAAATACATGTATTTTAATTACACCCATCAAATTCAAATTCAAGTTCCAAAACACACCCTAATACAACACAGAGCTCGAAGAAATGGTTTCTTATACCTCGTGAACTACACCGACTCCTACCAAAATAAAACCATATGCATCATCGACTGCTCTCCTCACTCCCATCAGGTCCTCCTTCCCAGAGCCAACAAAATCACCACATCTTGGCGAAGAACATCTCCAACAGTCCGCATTACCAACTGCAAGCATGTGCGTCTAGCCATTGCAATATTCCGAGCCCATTCACCTTGATCCTGATCCTCCTCTTGCCTCGGCAAGGTCCCCACCAAACTGCGAACAAGAACAGGGAGTTCCTTTCGGATGAAGTTAGAACAAGTAATCTTAGCTGTCGATCTATTAAACTCTTCATCACAGATTGAACTCCAAAACTCAATGGCTTGAAGAGCAACAGGCTCCTCATTTTCTTCCATAGCTCTTGCAGTGATGTCCAAAATATCTTTCATATAAGGATCCAATCTATCATAGTATGTTGAAGAAATTGCAACCAAACACTCAAAAGCTGACTGACGAATATTCAAGTCCTCGGAAGAGTTCATACCTTGGACAACAGCTGTAAGTATCCCATTTACATGGCCCTGCTCCACCATTTCTGGGGACACTTCTTCACAAATGTAGCCAAGAGTTTTAAGTGTGGCCTGCTTGGTATGGGTATGGGCTGGAAGCTGATGAATATTTGACAAGAGAGCCCCTAATAGCTCAGGCCATTGTTGATGCGGCAATTCAATACCTGCTACCTTTGCTATGACTTGAGATGCAGTAGATCTAGCTTCATGAGCAGGAGATGAAAGTGTCTGTAACAAGAACGCTTTGATCTGGGCTTTTGCAGACACATCCAAGGTCAACCATCTTTGAACAAGTTTAGACTTGCGATGCTGTTCTTTGGCATCCAAGGCATTTTTTAGGATCAAGCCTGCCAATTTACGACTCTCAACAGGCTTCTCATCGTTGGCCAATTCG